AGACGAAACAAAGCCCAACTGGCTCAGACACCTGCACACACCAGTCAACCGAAGTTTGAGAGGTGGAACCCAAGAGACGAACCTCAACCACCCGCAAGTACAAATAGCTTAGTACAACCCCCCCCCCCCACCTCTCTCTGTATACTCCCCTACGCCCCTCTCTCTCTCACACACACACACACACACAATACACACCTCTCACCCACATTATACACCCCCCTGTGTACACCCCCACGCCCCTCCCCCCCACACAATACACCCCCACGCCCCCCCCCACACACACACTATACACTCCCACCCCTAACTATACACCCCACGCCCCCCCCCCACTCCCACCCCACAGACAACACCGGCGAAGACACCACCACAGATGAACACAACCGCCGGACGAAGAGGTTAGTGAGGAGCAATTATACATAACAAGTGTTTCCTCCGCCAGTGGTGGGGGGGAGGCAGGAGAGAAGAGAGAGGGAGGGAGGGAGCACTTGCCCTTCATGCGCACACAGACCTTCAAGCTTTCGGTGAACGAGGTCATAGCACACACATTGTGGGGTCAAATGCCATAAACGACCTCTTAAACAAAAAAGACCAAAGAACAATTCATTAATTTAATGAATAACAGCCAAGCGTCACTGACAGAGGCACTGCCAGCGTCACACTGACAGAGGCACTGCCAGCGTCACACTGACAGAGGCATTCCCAGCGTCACACTGACAGAGGCACTGCCAGCGTCACACTGACAGAGGCACTGCCAGCGTCACACTGACAGAGACACTGCCAGCGTTACACTGACAGAGGCCTTGCCAGCGTCACACTGACAGAGGCACTGCCAGCGTCACACTGACAGAGACACTGCCAGCGTCACACTGACAGAGGCACTGCCAGCGTCACACTGACAGAGGCACTGCCAGCGTCACACTGACAGAGGCACTGCCAGCGTCACACTGACAGAGACACTGCCAGCGTCACACTGACAGAGGCACTGCCAGCGTCACACTGAGAGGCACTGCCAGCGTCACACTGAGAGGCACTGCCAGCGTCACACTGACAGAGACACTGCCAGCGTCACACTAACAGAGACACTGGCAGCGTCACACTGACAGAGGTACTGCCAGCGTCACACTGGCAGAGGCACTGCAAGCGTCACACTGGCAGAGGCACCGGCAGCGTCACACTGGCAGCTTAAGCCTGGAGCGTGAAGAACAGCCTTGAACTCCCAGCATCCTCAGGTAAAAGCTTCTCTTTAAGACCACAACATTAACTCCCTCGTGTTCTCCCAGCATCAACCACAGGCCCGGGTGCTACTCTCTACTCCGGTATGCTCGTATGTATATATATATATATATATATATATATATATATATATATATATATATATATATATATACACATACACGCGATTCTGTATAAACATTATATGTATATATTTATAATTATTCATTATATACACACATACACACACACACACACACACACACACACACACACACACACACACACCGGAGCTAATGTGGCCCGAAGACGGGCCAAAAGAGCAGAGCTCAACCCCTATAAGCACAACTAGGTGAGTACATACACACAGGCGGGACCGAAGAGCGAAAGCTCAACCCCGCAAGCACAACTAGGTGAGTACACCCCCCTCTTATTAAGAGGTCCTGTACAACAATACCCACACAAGAACAATTGACAAAGATCATTTTGCAAGCACAATTGAGAAAATTATATCTGGGTATATATTACCCATCGACCACATTCTATCGCTGAACAGCCAACAAAATGTTTCTGTGTATCTTTATTGTTGTGGAATAGATGCTGTACCGGCTGTTCCCGGGTCTCTCTCCCTCCTCCCCATACCCTATCTTCCCACTTCCCCAGTCTCTCATCTTCTCTCTACCTTTATTTCCCTTAAAAAAAACTTTTAAAAACTCTATGGAAAACAGACCCCCAATTTCAAATTTAGTGAAAAATCACGAGGGTCGCTGGAAATGCTAATATTTTTTTTTAAATTGGTACTGGGGCCGACCCCAACTGGTCTAAGACACTCACATAACCCCATGTGTCATCTTGGATAGAATGAGGCTAGCCCATGGCATCTGGCCTTTTGCTTCGGACACAGACATTCTATGTTATAGAATATTAGATTAATTTCTAGAATATAAATTAATAGAATAAGATATTATAGAACATAGATTAAGTTGATTAGAATGGGTTAAAGTAATTAAGGGAGCTATATTTCCATAGAACGTCTCAAGGGGGTTCAGTGGGATCGAACCCGCATATCTGGACTCCCCAGGCACACGCACTACCGACTGGACCACGATGAGCTAAAAAAATATCTCAACGTATATATATTACCAAACTTACGGTCTCAATATTTGATCATAGATCCATTACATTGTAGTGACTTCATTGCGAATTCACAAGGGTGTGTGTATTTTTAAAAGCTAAAACTCTCTAAAACACAAACCAATCAATTTACAAAATCTTACCTTAACAGGAAACACTGTCAAACTTTTCAACTGCAATTGCTCAAACTTTGAAACGAGATGGGAACAGTCACCGAGGGGAACAGGGAGGAGGGGGAAGAGAGAAGAGGGGTAGTAGGAGAAGATGAAAAGGGGGGAATAGAGGGAGAAAACTGGAGGAGAGGGCAAGGGAGAAGGAAATAGAGTAGACAGAAAACGAGAGAATGTTTGAGGAGAGGGGTAGTGGTGGTGGGGGGGGGTAACGGAGCCTAATGCACTATTTCCATAGCAACTTTCCAATAAACTATTTACACCGCTCCCAAGGGTATACCACAAACGTGTCACTTGGCTACGGTTTACAAGGGACGAAGTGTGTTGGAGTACGTGTTGCACATGTAACTTAGGTTACTCTAAACCCTTTAAAGTTTTTCTGATTTCCTTCTAAATATCCTATTTAAATCCTAATAAACAATATACGAAGACATTATTTAAAATGATTAAATCACCCGCCCTTAACCATTATCAAATAATGTACCCTAAAATTTTGTCCAAACGGTAACTTAAAATTACATTTAAAATTGATTTCATATTATGTCACAGAAAACGATCACTGGGTTCGAGTCAGGGAGGATTAACTTGGCAACAATCCCCAACTGTTCGCCCCTGTTCACCCAGCAGTAATTAGGTCCCTGGTTGTTAACCAGTTGGCGGGGTCGTACTCCAAGGAACACTTGTAGGGGTAAGGCTTACCATGAGCTATGGGAAGGGAACGCTCTCAGCCTGCCAACAGGAGTCAGAAGTCGTCTGTTCCTGTACCCACCTATGTTTAATGAAGAAAACAAAGGAAAAAACACAGACCCCGAATATCAGATGAAAAATCATGCGTACTTAAACAAACACAGTAGCATTAAACACTACGGTGACTACAGTGAGATCTGTGTATACGAGACTGATAAAGCTGGAAGTCGGTTATGTGATGTTTTAGTGGTCAGGAATACAGATGAATCTGGCAGCTTTCCAACACCAGCCCAGAGAGAGCACTAGGTGTTGACTTTCTGAAAGAGAAATCATGCATCCTCTTCAACATTAGGGCTATCAACCTAGGGCGGGTTAAATAGGCCGCCACAAGAGTAATACTGACGAATTAGCAAGTATAGTTTAGTCCTGAGCACTATACAGGATTATAATAAACTCTCAGTGTATATACACCGAGAATGGAAGTATACCTCTCGGTGTATATATCCTTTTAAGGGTGACATATACTGAGCTTTGTAAATAATATGTGACTATAGGAACACGCGGTGATATACTCGACGTATACCAAAGATATAACGACCATCAAAAAGCATTGTAGTCACCTGCGGTTGAGCACCCAATAACCCACTATGTACTAAAATGAGCTCTCTAGCCCTGTTCTTAGACTAGACGAAAATGTGTATATGCTCCATAACATTGTAATGAAATTGAAATTGTAAACACTTTAATCAACCTTTGTAGTCGAGTCCTCAATATACACTACATAAAGTGTAACATATCTCTAACCCTGTCTGGGAAGGATGTAAGAAAACGAAACCCATACATCAATCCTGTCCTCTCAACTATATTAGATCGTGCTTTTTGTTTGTTATGGTAATCAAAGTTACAAATGCAACCTACTATTAGGTTGCATTTGTAACAGACAGCGCAAGCGCTATAGATAAAATTTCTAACAAGAATCAGAAGTCGTCTACTGTACCCACCTGTGTTCAAAAAAATGAAAATATGCAAAGAACAAACGTGGAGTAAGACGCAAGTAGAGATAAAGCCTATGTGTGTACTCAATGAACATGCTCACTAGCCCTTACACAGAAACACACGCACACAAGACAACAATGGGGACGCGATATTAAAAGCTCGGGCTGACAATTAAAAACCATTACGATCAAAATCCTATTCCAGGATCATATTTTGTCTTGAATTACCCCATCATTCGCTTCTGATTTCCCTGCTTATCAATTCTATAATCATTCCAGGTTATCCGAGGGTAAATCAATATTTTACCTGTTTGGTACTGTAGTAAGTGTTCGAGGGGGAGGGACAGGAGACTGGAGGCTTTGTGATGGCTCATCCCAGTCTTTTTTATCCTCTCAGTCTTTTTTATTAGTTTTCTCAGCTGTGTATTGAAGCCTTTATGGCTTTGGTAAGTACGCTGTTGCAGTGGTTTTTCGTAACAATTTAAGTGAAACAGTAGTTACTGTTCTCTGCTTTGCATTGAGGCTTGGAGAGTTTGAAATTACCTATTGTGTACGTCACACTGGACCTCTTTTAATTGAGAAAGGGTCTATTTAATATCTAAATTTTCAATGTCTTAATTGTCTTCGAGGTAACTCCTATTACCGTCATTACTACTTGTTTTGGCTAAGCTGTCATGTAGATTTGTATATTAAAATCCTAAGACAAAAAGCTGCCAGTTAACGATGCACAGAAAAAAATATATACACCTATATTTTCTGTTAAAAACAATAATTAATAATTGCACAGAGAAGCACACTTTACCTTGTAGACGAGATCCACCTGTTTGGTCAACTCCTCTGCCTCCGTCATGGTGGTAGCCAGGGTAGGGTTCCTGAGATCTCTAAGTAACTTTATACTGACTGGGCTTCTTCGGCTGTGTTGATGCGATATGGAAGCCTACAAACAAAATCTCAGACAAACACAATGCAGACAGGAGTCACATTTGGGAACTGCCATTCTTAAAATGCAGCTTCTTTCGATGTCACCAGTTAAAGTGTATGAAAGGAAGACACTGACGAAGTTAGAAACTCATCGGGGAGGTTGGAAGCGCGTGAGGGAAAAGCAGCGCTACTGAGAAGCGTGGGGCTTCCACGGCAACAGGAGAACAGGGTAGCAACACCGAACGCCTCGACGGCACGGGACGGACTGAGCGTTGACGCCGCCCAGTACGGCTTCTGCCTCTCCCCAGACACTACCTTCCGCCCCACCAGCATCACAACCACCACACTCACCGTTATCACAACCACCAGCACCACAACCACCACACTCACCGTTATCACAACCACCAGCACCACACTCACCGTTATCACAACCACCCCACTACCACTACTCCAACACGACAATTTTCAATATCAACACCCATGGGTCATACCGCCCTTACCATCACCACCATTATCTCTTCATCTCCACCAGAGCGATTCCTTCTACTCAATGTTCATTGATGCAAAACTTATGAGATGAATAAATACGACTGAAGACTGCAAGACACTACAGGATGACCTGGACAAAATGAATATAGAGTCCCTCAAGTTGATATTAGAGTTCAACTCAAGCAAGAGCAAAGTAATCAGCCTGGGTTCTTGGAACAGGAGGCTAAACACTAGATATCACCCTGGAGAGAAACCTCTCCTGGAACTGGACACAGAGAATCATTTGGGGGGATGATATTACAACGAACCAATCACCAGACGCCCACATCAAACATATATCATCAGCTACATATGAAAGGTTGCCTAATATAAGAGCTGCATTTAGGAATCTTAACGAAGTAATTCTTAATTTAATCTTACATGCTATTTTGTCAGCACTATTCAGGAATATGCGGCACCAGCGTGGAGTCCTTATCTCGTTAAATACAAAACGGAGCTGGAGAAAGTTCAAAGTTCAGAGGTATGCCACAAGATTAACCCTCAGAACAGAGAGGTATTATGTACGAGGAAACACTAAAGGAGTTTAACCTCACCTCACTGGTAGGTATGATCACATACAAAATACTCAGAGGAATAGACAGGGCAGAAAAGAACAGATTATTTAGCATGGGTAGTACACGAACAGGAAGGCACAAATGAAAACTAAATTCCCAAAATAATTAAGCCACAAAGATATTATGTTTTCCAGCGTCAAAAATAGACAAGAGATTTTATCTGTTTTTAAAATAAATAGAGAAAGCTGTTTTGAAAAAAAAACAATCATTTCCTTTATTGAAATGAGAAAATACCATTTAAAATGTTAATTCATTATTTTATTTAACATAAAATGAAATTTATTTACTATATGCAATGACAGTACACGAAGAAACAACAGATAACAAATAATGAATAGAGGGAGAAGAAGCATGAGGATATGAAACACTTGAGAAGGGAGGAGAAATAATATTGGGAGGAGAGAGCGAAGCAACATGGGCTGGAAGACATACCGTGGAAGGCAGAGAAACGGACAGTAAAGGAAAAGATCTTCGTCACGGAAAAGACAAAGATCTGTTATCCCGTTCCACCTTTCGCTAAATAAGTCGTTCATCCCCGTTCAGTGATTTGTTCACCCCCTTGTTCAATGGGTCGTTCAATCTCTCGTTCAATAGGCCGTTCAAGCTCTTCTTTAATTGGTCGTTCAACGTCTAGTTCAATGGGTCGTTTAATCTCTTGTTCAATTTGTCGTTGAACCCCTTGTTCAATAGACCGTTCAGTGTCTCGTTCAATCATGGGTCGTTTAACCTCTTGTTCACTGAGTCGTTCAACCTCTTATTCAATGGGTCTTTCAACCTCTTCTTCAATGGGTCGTTTATCCTGCTTGCTCAATGGGTCATTCAACCTCTTGTTCATTGGCCGTTCTACGACTACGAATATGTATGTATCTATATGTATGTAGATAGGAGCTGCCTCGTATGGGCCAATAAGCCTTCCGCAGTTACCTCTATTCTTATGTTCTTATGTTTCACCCCCCATTTATCCCTTATGTATCCCCCATGTTTTCACCTTTTTTGTCTTATCACCTGACCCAGTGCGGGTATAAATCAACCAGTCCTGAAAATTCTTTTCACTTGAGAATGAACCATGGAGGTTCGAAACGTTGTGCAAATTGTATAAATAAGTGTAATACATTCTATAGTAATTTACTTCTTTTCTTCACCTTGAAATTACGAAAATGAGTTTTGGAGAACTCCTCTTTCAGCTAAGCCCTGATGCTAAGAGAATAGTTATATATATATATATATATATATATATATATATATATATATATATATATATATATATATATATATATATATATATATATATATATATATATATATATATATATAGGACGTCTGTAGAGGGTTATAATTAAGGCCACGGTGGCCACCATAATATAGTTCACCATCCAGAAAGTATACTTGAGCCCTGAACATAGTTCAAAGCTAAATTAAACTCTCAAGTGTATATTCACCAAGAAGCTTGGTGGTGACCCAGAGGGTGCAGTGCCAATTCTATAGGTGCCGGAGCTCTGGTAGGCCTGAAAAAAGCCTGTCATTTCCTATCCTGTTTCTGTATTTGATACACGAATATAATTATCAAACAAATAAAGAAAGAACATCAGTCATGTATTTATCAATTTAGGAAGTTAAAACACTTAGTGCTCACAGAATACAGCCAGTGAGAAGTGTCACAATAGTTTCCACAGAGGGTCAGGAGTGAGATGTTTTCGAGGTCTGAGGCAAATTTTGCCCTGACGTCATCTGGCGATCTGTGGTACCGCAGCCATGATATGGCATATGGCTCAGGCTCCCACTGAACTAGAGGAGGTCCATGTAGTTAAACAAACAACAGTGCTGATACGTGATTTATGAGAATTCTTGAGCGTGTTGTTGTTATCAGGTTCATGTGACTGATTCCCCTCTCACACTCAGCAGTACTAATAGGAATAACTTGTAAACAGCTCAGTAATGGGTGTAAATCTTGAGTAATGCGGCGTTCATTATCCTCCACATAGTCTCTAAAGGCATTTAGTGCAGAGTAAGAAGAAAGCTTAAACCTCTTACTGAGAGATATTATTTCAACTTTCCGTAATTAGGTGGTATTTCATCAGGCAATTAGTCTTTTTCACGGACACACATTTCACTTAGCAGTGATTTATTATAGGTTAACCTATTATAGGTAGTTATATACCTATAATAGGTTAAGTAATAATTGTAATTACGAAGCAATAAGATGCTTATCTTAACATACTAAGAAGGTTAGGTAAGGTCGGTGTTTTCTATGAAGCTTTTTAAGGTGAACTAAAATATTCACAATAAATTAGTATGTCACCTGTGCATTTATTTAATAAGTCAATATTGACTGTAAGAAAGTGCGAGAACGGGTTGCATCCACAATGATACAATTATCACCCAATTCACAGACGATGTCATTCACGTTGTCACGTCGATGCCTGCAGGACAAAATGCAAAACATGACATGGTGATAAGGAAGGTCAAGGAGGAACTATATATATATATATATATATATATATATATATATATATATATATATATATATATATATATATATATATATATATATATATATATATATATATATATATATATATATGTGTGTGTGTGTGTGTGTGTGTGTGTGCTGTGCAGAGACTTAATATCTAACATATTCAGAGATTTGAGTAGGGGTATCGAGTGATGTCTGGGGCCAGAGTTGGATATTGTCCTAACAGCAGCTTTGTGTTGAGTAATTAGAGGACGTAAATGATTTTGGGTAGTAGAACCCCAAGCACAAATACTATAGTTGAGATAAGGCTAGATGAGAGAGTAATAGAGTGTCACCAGGGTAGGGCGAGGTACATAATATCTGATCTTAGAAAGAATGCCAACAGTTTTTTTTAACTTTTTTTATATATTTAGAATGTGTCCCTGGAAATTCAGCTTGTGGTCAATGAAAACGCCAAGGAATTTGCCATTTACTTTGTTACAAATTTGGGTATTGTTTATCCTGAGATTTATTTGATTTGAGGCCAAACAAAATATAGAAAGTTTTGTCAGTGTTGAGGGTGAGTTTGTTGATAGTTAGCCAAAGATGGACTTTATTTAGAACAGTATTCACTGTGACATTTAAAGCAAGGGGGTCTGGACTGGAGTAAATGAAGGTTGTGTCGTCAGCAAATAGAATGGGTTTGAGGTGTTGGGAGGCATTTGGAAGGTCATTAATGTAGATGAGAAAGTGGAAAGGGCCAAGTATGCTGCCCTGAGGAACACCAATGTTAATGGGTAGGGGTGGGAGAAATTGAATTATTCACAGAAACATACTGGAGCCTGTCAGTAAGGTAAGGTAAGTTCTTGAAGGTTGAGTAGCAGTAGTAGTTACTGCAGCAGAAGGGACTTCATAGTATATACCCTCTACAGGGTCACACCAAGGGTCCATTGCAGCTGAATTCACCACTGGGACGGGTGAAGGGTCAGCAACAGTTGGAGAAACGTGTGGAGCAGGAGCTGACAGTAAGTCTGAAAGCGTGGCCGCGTTCACAGTGATGTCATGGTTAGCAACTGGAACTGTAGCAGAAGTGGGGGGTCTCAGGAGGCAGAGTCTTGTGAGCTGAAGGTACTAGAACAAGATCTGAAGTCTGCATTGAAGTGGCAGAATCGTCGTCGGGTGAAGAGTCGGCATCCTCTAAAGGGTCAGTTGCTGGAGTTGAACCTGGAGCGTTGAAGACTTCTTCAGGAATATTGAAGGTAGGGAGACCATTCGCATTGTAAAGAATTTTCAGAATTCTCACAAATTTTCGAGGGTTAGTGCCAGCAGTCATTCTGGCCGTCGATATCAAAGCTTTTACTGTGTTACACAGTGATTGGCCGGGATGGGGTGGAGGCGGCGGTGTCTGGCTCGATGAGTGGCCGGGTGACTGGGATCTGGGTCCTCATTGGCTAGTAGAGGCAGTAACAGGATGTTGCTGGTGTGTGGTGGTGATAGTTCCTCCTCCCAGAAGCTTTGGGAAAGTGGCTGCTTGGATGTTGAAAGTAGAGGTTGAGGTGGTAGCTGAAGTGCTGGAGCTGGTGCCTGCTAGAGAGGTAGAGGAAGATTTGGATTTCTCCTGGGTCTCCAGGTTTTTGATAACTTCTTGTCTGCGTGGACATTGATGGGAGATTGCGACATGTTTGCCGTTGCAGAGCAGGCAGTGTGGTTCTTTCG